CCATATCACTGGGCACGCAAGCATTGCCCTAGCTCAGCTGCAGTGCACATGAGCGCGCAGGCCAACTGATTTTCAGGCCTTCCGGGCACACCGTTTCTGGCCTCCAGAGGGCCTCCAGTGGGGTGGAGAAGGTCATTTTCACTCCTAGAAAGCCTCTGGAGCCTGGGGAGGGCGAAAAATGGGCCTACTGGACCATCATGTGCCAAAAACAGGGGGAGCATGGGGGGGGTTGTGCATGCATGCGTTGGGGTGGGGTGGGGCGCATTGAATTGTGGGTGTAGGCACGCACGTGCATAACCCCCCCACGCTTCCCCCGCTTTTGTCACACGACGGCAAAAAGGTTGGCCATCACTGAAATAGGAAATTTACTTTAGGAAACCTTCAGATTTCCAATTTTTCCTTCATTTGGGATCGTTTATGCTTGAAAAATGCTGCTGACCTATTAGATTTGGTCTGTATTAGACCTGGTGTAACTGGATTCCTTTTGCTATGTATATGTATGTATATTTACGATTAGAATGTTGCTCGTTCCATAGCTGTTATTTGTTCAGACTGATCTGGCTCTTTGGCTCTTTAGTTTATGTTTATGACTCCTTATGTTTTCTATGAAAAGTTATTCTGGTTTTTTCCCCCCTCTGCCTTGCAAGCCAGGCAGAGTCACTAATTATGAGTTGGGAGGCTAAATAAATTGAAGAAATATACATATGTATATTTGTGTGTGTATACACTCCCTCTCTCTCTCTCACACACACACACACACATACATACATATATTCAGACTCATTCAGGAATGTTATCAGGAAGGTTTTCATATCAGTTCGGCATTGGACACGATTTTTTAATTTATTTATATCCTTAATTTATTTATTTATTTTTTAATTTATTTATATCCATAAAGGCAGGATATAAATGAATTAAAAAATTGTGTATAAATAACTGGAAATGGCCAACATGCCTAATACTCCTTCTTCCTCCTTTTTTTCCCATAACAATTTTATGAGGTTGATTGGACTGAGAGAAAGGGACTGGCCCAAAGTCACCCAATGCTTCCATGTCTAAGGCGGAACTAGAACTCACAATCTCCTGGTGATTGGCCCAAAGCCACCCAGTCAGCTTTCATGCCTAAGGCGGAACTAGAACTCAGTCTCCTGGTTTTTAGCCTGATGACTTAACCATTAAACCAAATAGGCTCTCATGAACACATGTGAATTGCTCTACTTCAGGAGTGTCAAACTCGATTTCATTGAGGGCCGCATCGGGGTTGTGTTTGACCTCGGGGTGGTGGTGATGGCCAAGGGGCATGACCAGTTTGATGTCACTCATCAAGGTTCCATTTTCGGCCACGAAAGCCCTCCTGGGCTCTGTTTTCAGCCACAATGGTCTCCTGCAGCCCCCTGCCAGAGAAAACAGAGCTTGAGAGGGCCACGAGTGGCCTCCCTGAGATCCATTTTCACTGGCAGAGGGTTGCAGGAGGCCGTTGCGGCCCAAAACGGAGCACAGGAGGGCCACACATGGCCCTCCCGAGCTCCCTTTTCACTGGCAGAGGCACCGCGGGCTGGTCCTTCACTGTTTGCAGGGTGGACTTGCAGGTCAGATCTAAGCATCCTGTGGGCTGGATCTGGCCCCCAGGCCTTGAGTTTGATACCCTTGCTCTACTTTAATAGAATGTGTTTGCAATCCAAATAAATTTGGTGGGTTTGTGGTTTGTTTCCCACCACCACCCCCTTTCACTGAGCCAGTGACTCCTGGCCCAAGACTGTGTCTCCGGCAGATACCGCATTGTAGTGCTCGAAAAACCATAGTGCTAAGGCGAAGAGTGTCTGCATGTGAATTTTAGAGCAGGGAGTAAATCAATCAAATATTCCCAAGGAGACCCCTCCGTTTGTTGTTAGCGCATCTCCATTTTCAATACTGGAGGAACATTGGCCAGCGTATATAATGTAGCCATCCTACCAGATCGGAGTTTATTATTATCATATAAAATAATCTATACTATGGATCGGTGGTGCTGGCTGGAAAATTGGGCGGCTGGAGCATAACTCATTGGGGACTCCTGAGTTCCTTTTACCTTCTGCATTGATGCTAAGCAGCTGCATCTGCTAAAAGCAGAGAGCTGACCAGTTTCTGGGCTCCGTGAAAAATATAATAATAAAAAAAGCATTTTGTAATCCAGTTTCAAGCAAGGGAAGAAGCATTTGCCAATTTGGCTGGGACTAAACTTTCCCAGGGCCTACATGGACAAGAGGCTGGAGGAGGAGACAAAGAGACTTAGCAAGGCAGTTCTTGAAAGCCATGGATGAAATGAGAGAAGAGTTTTCACCCTCCTCTGGAAAACAATACAGTGATTAGTGCTCAGCAGTTGCCATTTTTAATTTTCCAATCTGCTGTAATCCAGGACAGAGATACATCATGCAGATTGTGAAAAATGTTAAGGGGAAATGGCCTAATTCCCGTCGGAGAAGGAACCCGCTGGGGTGGGCGGGGGTGTTATTTTATTTATTATTTCAATTTCAAGGCCACCCAACTCACAGTGACGCTCAGTGGCTTGCAGTAAACTTTCAAAAAGAAAGCAATATATATCAAAGAAAATCGAAGGGGCTCAGACAACAGCAGGTCTTTAACAATTTGCAGAAAATCAAATTGGAAGCAATATCAAGGATCTCAATGTTGAGTGGAAGAGACCATTACACGAGGCAGCACCGATCCCTGAGACAGCCTGCTTCCTAGTCCCGAAAGGTGTCCCTGTTTAATTGATGGGACCTGGAGTGTGTCCACTCTAGTGACCTCCCTAGACAGCCTGTAGAGAACATAAGGATCTGACAAGGCTGGAAAAACCATGATACAATTGATGACAATCCAATTGATCATTAACCAATGATCATTGACTAATAATTATGATCCAATTGATCATTGACCAATGGTAATACAATTGATCATTGACCAATGATGTTATAATTGATCATTGATCAATGATCATGATCCAATTGATCAGACAAATGCTCATTGACTGATGGTCATGATCCACTTGATCATTGACTAATGATCATTGACCGATCACTGATTAATGAACATGATCCAATTGATTATTGACTGATGATAACTGATCAATGAACGTGATCCAATTGATCACTGACTAACGATCATTAATTAATGATCATGATCCAATCAATCATTGACCAATGATCATGATCTAGTGGGCCATTGACCGATAATCACAAACCAGTTGATTGTTGATCCAAATCCATGATCCAATAGGCAAATGCTGGGGGGGGGGACAGACCATGACCCAATTCACATATGCTGCAATTTATGTACTTGTACCAAATGTTGGTATTGAAGTATGCTGTGGTGATGTTTGTACGATGACATCAACACATATGTTACTGATTCAACATCACCCAATTGGCTGCAGAAGACACTCAATACACCAACTGTCCTGGATTAACCACTAAGCAAAATAAATGTGTGTTTAGGGCACTAAGGAAGGGAGACACTTCTGAGTTTTCTCCCCCAGCTATCTGGTCCTTAACTTTTTCACTGCCACATTCAATTTCATTGGTTTTGTTTTGTCATTGTCCTCCTCTTCTACCATGTTCAACTTTAATCTGCATTGTTTAAAAAAAAGGTTCCTTTGACAAGGTGAAAAAGTTTTAAAGTTTGGTTTAAAAGTGTCAAATATTATCCCATTTGTTTCCAGTCTCACGGTGTTGGGATTTTTGCTTCCTTTCCCAAAGAGGAAGAAACAGAGGGGAAAGTGTTTCTGGCAAGGGCTTTAACAAAAGGGGCTCTGGGGGTGGGTGGAATTCCTGGTTCTGAAAAAGGAGGGGATACCGAGGCTTCCAAGTTTCACTGTTCCTCCAGATAAACAAGTTTTTTTAGGCAGGAGGAGAAAAACCACCCAGCCAGCACTGGATATTGCTTTGTTCTTTGATGATGTCCTACTTTGGCCTGCAGTTTAAATATAGTTTTCACTGTTTGAAAAGAGGGGAGGGGGACAAATCCTAAAAGGCTATTATTCCAGCCAGCTGCGAATCTCTGAACTTTAACGCTTTTTTTTTTTTTTTTTTTTATTAAAACAACACCCACCCCTCCCCTTCTGCAGATTTCGGGGCAGCTGACTATCCAGCAGGTAACGTGATCCTAACACACCGACAATTAGGTGGACGCTGCCGGGCTCAATTCACCCAAGGTGATCCAGGACTGCGGTCGGCCGGTGTATGTAGCGGGGAAGATTCAGAATCCAGACGGCTGACTTGGGCCGTTCTTCCCGGCGCCACGAAGGACGCCTTAAGAGGGTCGTGCGAAGCCACCCCAGCCCACCTCCCCACCCCATCGGCATCCAGCGCTTTGCCTTGATAGCCTGCCCGCTTAGCCCGGCTTGCAATCGGATATTTCAAGTCCCTAGACTTACTTTTTCCTACCCTGGGAAACCCTTGGGAAGAGTGGGATGGAGGGAGGGAAGGGGGGGAGAGGGAGGATAACTTGGTGTAGCCCTGGTGGCGCAGCAGACTAAAGCGCTGTTATTAACATCAGCTGCCTGCAATTAATGCAAGTTCAAATCTCGCCAGGCTCAAGGTTGACTCAGCCTTCCATCCTTTCTAAGGTAGGTAAAATGAGGACCGAGATTGTGGGGGCAATAAGCTGACTTTGTATAAATATACAAAAGGATGAAGGCTATTGCTTAACGCATTGTAAGCCCACCCTGAGTCTCCGGAGAAGGGCGGCATATAAATCAAATTAAAAAAACAAAAAACTTTCCCCTGGCAAGTTGGTGAGAAAAAGAGAAAGTGAGAAGCCGGAAGCTGAGCGGGCTCTTTCGATTCACAGCCTTCTCTCCCCCCCCCCCACTTCTCCTCTCCCATCCCGCCTCCTTGCAAGCCTGTTGGGCAAAGTAGCTCCCAACAAGCTTGACTCCAGGATGGGGAGGGGGGGGAGAGACGCGGGGGGAGTGGCAGGGGAGGGAGGGGGAGGAGGAGAGTGGGGTGGGGGGTGGGGGGAGACAGAGGGAAGTACAGTCCCCGAGCAGGACTGGGCGCACGACTGCAAAGAGGAGAGCGGAGCGGAGCCAGGCTGGGCGCAAAGAAAGCAAAGCGGAGGAGCGAGAGAGCCGATTGCGCGCCAGGGAAAGGACGGCGCAAGGCAAGGCGGGTTCCCTCCTGGCTCCCAGACAGGATCAGGCTCAGGATCAGGCGGGCTGCAACGCGGCGCTCTCGCCTTCCCTCCCACTCCCCACTTTTTCTTACCGCCTCCCCCCCCCAATTTGAGGAGGGGGGATCGCTGTTCTGACCATCTTGGAGACGGAGGGGGAAGCGAGGAAAGCGCCCGGGCGTTTGGCGAGCCGCGGTCGGCCCAGAAGGCGCCTCTGTGCCGGGTGGGAGGAGAAGAAAAAGCCCCCCCGAGCGACGGTCGAGACTGTGGGGAGCCCGAGAGCGGGGCGGAAGGTAACTGCGGAGAGTGGGGGGTGGTCGTTGGGGGTAAAAAAAAGGGGGGGCTTCGGTCCCCACGCGCGCTCCGTTCCAACTTCCTTTGGCACCGCGTGGCGCGGTTTTGCGGAAAGCTGGCTGGAGGGGTTTGCTCCGCTTTGCAGCCGATCTTTTCTCCTTTTCTTCTGGGACGGGTGGGTGGATCGGGTGGTTTCCAGCCCCGCTGCGCTCCCCACCCCCCACGCCTCTTTTATTCGGCCACGGGATGGGAGACCTCCGGCTGAGAAACCGCAGAGGGGAGAAGGGTTCAAAAAGACCCGCAGCTCAGAGACTCAAGAAATATATCTATCTATCTCCCCTTAAAATTGCCTTTGAGGAACAGATGCGCCACAAGTGCGGGGCAGAAGCTCTACTCTCCAGCCGTTTCCCCCAAAGAGCCCTTTCAAAAGGATCCTGGCCGGCAAGGACACCAACGAACCTCGCCCCCCCCCCCTCCAGGGGTATCTGGGGCATATTGTGTGGGGGTAAGGAGGCCACGAGGTGACCTTTCATTTTGAAAGGTCTATGGCCGAAGACAACCGTGTGCCTGGGGAACGTCGGTGTGACTTCGACTTTGCATGCACACCTCTTTGTAAATTGCTGCCCTGCAAGGAACCTTGTGATCGGCTCAGAAGTCTCCCACCACCACCACCACCAAACGGGTCTTTGGCAAAGATTGGAAATTGTGGTCCTAGCCAGTTGCAACCCCCCTTTCCTGAGGTGTCTTGTTTTTCAGATGACCCAAGAACAAGCTGGGAAGGTACAGTTGCAGGAGCGAAGAAAATGATGGGTGAGCAAGAGCATCAGGCAACGAGGAATTGATGTGGTGGATGACTCCCTTGCTGATGGTAAGTTGTTTTTTAAAGGCATTTTCTCTCCCCCCATCCCCCGAGAACATGCACTGGGGTGGGGGAATAGGATTGCTGGCTTGGGTGCTGTTTGCTTGCCGACCAATTAACCAGTGGAACTCGGCTTGCCTTCAGAGGTTGTGGGCGCTCCCAACACTGGAGGCTTTTAAGAAGAGTCTGGACAGCCACTTGTCTGGAACGGTATAGGGCCATGATGGTGAACCTATGGCACGCGTGCCACAGGTGGCACGCGTAGCCATATCAGTGGGCACGCCAGCTCAGCTCTGAGAGAGAGAAAGGCTCTGGAGGCTGGGGACAGCAAAAAACATTACTTCCTGTCCCACTGGGAATTGGGAAATGAGCCATTTCAGGCCTCCGGAGGGCCTCTGAGGGAATGGGGAAGGCTGTTTTCGCCCTCCCCAGATGCATAGAGAGGCTCTGGACCCAGGTGAGAAAGAAAAATGGGCCTACCGGTCCATTGCATACCAGGAGGGGGGGAGTGTTGTGTGCACATGGGCAGGGCACAGAGAATTATGGGAACCTCCCCCGTGCTCCTGGCACGCGATAGCAAAAAGGTTAGCCATCACTGGTATAGGGTCTCCTGCTTGAGCAGGGGGTTGGACTAGAAGACCTCCAAGGTCCCTTCCAACGCTGTGGTTCTGTTCTTTTTAACTTCCCAGTGGCATCTGAGCAAAGCCTTTAACTTGTGCTTGAGGAGATGGTCTGTCCTTTCCTAGACGTGACTGTGTCTCCCACAACCGCCATAAATTGAGAGGCCTGAAAATATAGTCGTGGGAAGCAAGCCAATCTGGGAATTGGGGGTTTAGTACAAACCCTGTTGTGGGCTGCTGTTGCCTTGATTTAAGCTGAGATTCTGTTGCACTCGGAAAAAGAAATGAAATGCACTTAATTTGGGGTAAACCTACAGGAGGCGTGCCATAAATGGCAAAGCAAAAAGATGACAGAGAAAGGGAATTGGGATTTACGGTGGCCCCAGCATCTCAGTTGCGAAGTTGATAAATTAAAGCACATCTTTTGCATTCTTGCATGCTTTTTGGTTCGTTGACTCAGACGGTTAAGAGAGCTGAAGACAAAACATGGAGTTGCCCTATCTTCCTTCTGTAAGATTTGTTGTCTTGCGCTGTTCTCTGGAGTTTTCAGGAAGAGGGAGTGAAACTCCTAAATCCATCAAAACCTGCTGCTTTCCTCTTTTGACGGAGAATTGGAACAGCGGTAACGATGGACTTAAATTCATCAATCCAGATGTTTGGCCCCAGGACAGTTTCTGTTGTTTTTAAAGGACTTTTATGAGTCTGGTGGGAGCTCAGAAGTGCTTCGAACAGTTTGATGGTTTTAGAGGAGTAGGAGGAAGAGGAGGTTGTGTCTTGGGCAAGGATATTAAAGGAGAAAGCAATGTGAGTAGAAGGCGTTTGGCCAGCAGCCAGTTCTGGTTGATCAAAGGGAATTCAGTGTGGGGAGAGAGGCTTTACAATCTCTAAGACAGAATAGATGTGCAGGGTGAAGGTTCAAGAGCGCCTTGAGTAGTAACTGAGTAAAATTAGCTGCACATGTGATCCTCCCTCCTCCCCTTCTGTATTTTTAGAAGAGTTTTATGAATAAGAATAAAACAGAATAAGTCGGTGTCTGCTTTTGCCCAACTTGGATATATAGCTCAAAATATACATGTTTCATGTATATGGCTTCTAAAATTAACACCTACCATCTGGGCTAATAGACTGCCTTGATTCAAAAGGTAGTTTACTCAACAAACCATGGCCTTCTGTAAAGTTGTGGATCCAGTTATATCAATACCAGATAAAAACGCAGGTAGTCCTTGACGTACAACAGTTTGTTTAGTGGGCAGTTCAGAATAGAATAGAATAGAATAGAATAGAATAGAATAGAATAGAATAGAATAGAATAGAATAGAATAGAATAGAATAGAATAGAATAATAGAGTAGAGTAAAGTAGAGTAGAGTAGAGTAGAACAGAACAGAACAGAACAGAACAGAACAGAACAGAATAGAATTAGAATTCTTTATTTGCCAAGTGCGATTGGACACACAAGGAATTTGTTTTTGGTGCATCCCCTCTCAGTGTACATAAAAGAAAAGATACGTTCATCAAGAATCATAAGGTACAACACTTAATGATAGTCATAGGGTACAAATAAACAATCAGGAAACAATATCAATATAAATTGTAAGGATACAATTACAGTCATAAGTGGGAGGAGATGGGTGATAGGAACGATGAGCAGATTAATAGTAATAGTAATGCAGACTTAGTGAATAGTTTGACAGTGTTGAGGGAATTATTTGTTTAGCAGAGTGATGGCATTCGGGAAAAAACTGTTCTTGTGTCTAGTTGTTCTGGTGTGCAGTGCTCTATAGCGTTGTTTTGAGGGTAGAAGTTGAAACAGTTTATGTTCAGGATGCGAGGGGTCTTTATATATTTTCACAGCCCTCTTTTTGACTCGTGCAGTATACAAGTCCTCAATGGAAGGCAGGTTGGTAGCAATTGGTTTTTTCTGCAGTTCTAACTATCCTCTGAAGTCTGTCTCTGTCTTGTTGGGTTGCAGAGCCAAACCAGACAGTTATGGAGGTGCAGATGACAGACTCAATAATTCCTCTGTAGAACTTTTGTCAGCAGCTCCTTGGGCAGTTTGAGCTTCCTGAGTTGGCTCAGAAAGAACATCCTTTGTTGTGCTTTTTTGGTTACAGTGGCACTGAAAAAAAGTGACTTATGACTGTTTTTCACACTTATGACCACTGCAGTATCCCTATGGTTACATGATCAAAATTCAGATGCTTGGCAAGTGACTCATATTTATGACCGTTGCGGTGTCCCGGGGGGGGGTGTCTTGTGATCCCCTTTTGTGACCTCCTGACAAGCAAAGTCAATAGGGAAGCTGGGTTCACTTAACAAGCATTTTACAAACTTGACAGCTGCAGTGATGCGCTTAACAACTGGGACAAGAAAGGTTGCAAAATGGGACATAGCTCACTTAAGGTTTGTCTCACTTAGCAACAGAAATGTTGGGCTCAATTGTGGTCGTAAGTCGAGGACTACCTGTACTACAGTAGATGAACTTAGATGATACGGAAAACAATTCATTTGTAACCATGAAGAGCCAAGGTAGAGAAATGGCTTATTGGTGTTCCTCAGCCCCACATATGCGAGGGTGGGAGTCTACCGGTTCAGACCGGTTCAGGCGAACCAGTAGCTCCAACGATCAGCTGGGAGCGAACCGGTTCACTCTGACGATCAGGTGGGCCTGCTCGCCCGCCCCTGTGCTTTACTAACCTATATCTTCTCAGCTGATTAGCGTGGCACAGCGGATTGCCATGCCTCTGCTGTGTTACGCCCCAGCAGCAATGCGGAAAGTAAGTTTTAGTTAAACTGCGTGTGCGTGCGATCACTGAACTGGTTGTTAAACTGGCAGGATCCCACCACTGCACATATGTATGGGTTGTTTGGTGGAATGTGTAGTCCATCGCATCAGAATTGTGCAAAATTAGAGAATGTGTGAAGATTTTTCAAAGAACTGAAAGGGTAAGGAGGTAGTAAACCCAACCCCTTCTCCACCTGATCTTTGCACTAGCTGTTGTCTTCCATCCTAACCTTGCCTACAGCAAGGAGGTTGTCATCATACCCTGTTCCCCCCAAAATAAGACATCCCCTGATAATAAGCCAGTGGTGAAATCCAACTTTTTTTACTACCGGTTCTGTGGGCGTGGCTTGGTGGGCATGGCAGGGGAAGGATACTGCAAAATCCCCATTCCCTCCCCACTCCTGGGGGAAGGATATTGCAAAATCTCCCTTCCCACCCTACTCTGGGGCCAGCCAGAGGTGGTATTTGCCAGTTCTCTGAACTACTCAAAATCTCCGCTACCGGTTCTCCAGAATCTGTCAGAACCTGCTGGATTTCACCCCTGTAATAAACCCAATCGGGCTTTTGAGTGCATGGCAATAAAGCGAAGCACTTATTTCAGGCTTCAAAAAAATTATAAGACAGGGTCTTATTTTCGGGGAAACACGGTAGAAGGATGATCTTTCACTCCCCTTTAGGACTGTGGTGTTGATACTATTATAAGCACCACACCACCCCCTTGTCTGTAGCATTGTGCTGCTAAACTCTAGGACTAATCTCCATTATTTGGGTTTAATTGAAATTATAATTTTTTTTTTCAGTTGCCTAATTGCTTTGTAGAGTAAGCATCACTGAGCATATCCTTCATATTTCAATCTGAAATCGTAGAGTAAGCTTCACTGGGGAACATATATCCTTCAGATGTCAATCAGCCCTGTTGATGTTTATTTATAAGCAAGAGCCAGTACCATACAGAGTTGCTTCTTGCTGAACCAGAGGGACAGAGCTCTGGGTTCATGGGCATAATATCGCCCAGGTTTGTTATCTGGCATCCCCATAATTAACCCCTAAACTGATTAAAGCTGCTGGGTGTTAACCAAATTGCTTGGATTCGGATTTTCTCCAAAGGAAGTATCATGTCAGTGAGAACTAGCACATTTACTCTAGAATAAATGTGCCTAGAAATGTCTCCTCCCCCGAAAAGGAAAATAGACATTACTTTTGAGTTACACAAATACAATGCAAATGTTATATAAATTTGGCTCATTATGAAGCTAATCAAATGGCTTAGAGTACCCCTGTAGCAACCTACTCAAAAATAAGACACCTCTTGACTTTACTAGAGCTTCTTCAGATTTGATTGCTTGATTGACTATGTGCCATCAACTGATCGTCAACTCTTAAGAGACCACATGGATAGATTTTCTCCACGGCAATCTTTCCCTAACCTGGTCCACTCATCGCTACTGAAACTTGAGTCTTTTCCACCTGGCTTCTGGTCATTCTCTTCTTCTCTTTCCTTCCATCTTCCCCAGCATTAGAACCTTCTCCAGAGAGCCAGGTCTTCGCATAATGTGTACAAAATAGGAAAATTTAAGCCTGGTCATTTGTGCCCTTGAGTGAGAA